AAGTGCTTAAACCATTTCTCATTTAAGTCACTCTTACAAATTTGGAATTCCGAGGATCTCATTTTGGCAGATTTGTGGGTTTTGAATACCAAGACATGGAGGGGTTAAACTAAGAACCAAGTATATGTATTTTATTTTTAACACAGATCCACAGCTTTGCGCTACTCATGCATAGTTTCTAAATTGCTGAGTCGGTTAACTGCAATTGCAGAATCAGACCGGTTTTTTTTCCCAAAGTGGACCAAAAACACCTTTTAAATGCCAAAAGGATTTCATGTCTTAGATGTACGTATCTAATAACCTTTATGCATTTCTGGTCGTGCAATTCAACGCGCAATGTTCAGAAGCTGTTTTTCCATGTTTGTTCTACTGAATTAGCTCTTTTAAAATAAAAATATACAGAATTCGTAACAAAACTACACTTGATTATTGCGGTTTCTTGCACCACGATGCGTTATCACTTTCTGCCACTTGATAGCAATCAGCTTCATTCCATTTTGAAAGGAGTTTTAACGCAAAGGACAAATAACTACTCACCGAGTTTTATTTTCTTAAAAAATTTTGTCCATAGCTACACATTAGGGACACAGACTATCTGATTTGGTAACAGTTAAGTCTCACTTGTCTCAGTATTTACCTTATAACCCGTAAATCGGTGCAACTTCTCCTGTTATTCCATACGACAGAATATCAAAGGTGGTGCGTGAGAAGCATGTCAAGAAGAAAATCAAAAGTAAAATTGAGGAGCTCTGCGAACAATGAGGGGGAAAGGTGGCTTGAGCAAGCAAAAGCAAATTGCCGTTTATTTCTTGAGTCCATCTCCATCCGAGGTTGCAGCCGAATCGTAAGAGCTGAGAACCAAATAATTCGCTATATGTGGGCCACGTATCTGTGTTTCACCACCCTCTTCCTCCACATTTCCATTATGAGGTTGGTGTATGAGTATATGGAGTATGCCGTGAATATTCAAACCTACAACGATGTGGATGCATTAATGGCCTTCCCCACCGTTACCTTTTGCAATCATCAGCCCTTCTCAGCACGTGCCTACGAGCTGTGGGGCAACAAATCTCTCATCTCCCCCACCCGCTTTAACCAACTCATTCGTCAGCGAGCAGCCGAGCTGCTAGCTCAATCGGTGGAGATTCCGAAGATTGGCAATGAGAGTGTACGTCTCCTTAATCGTGATCTTCTGCTGGAGTCTCTAAGACAGGCAATTGTCTACGATACCCTTCCTCTCTACTACCAAAGCCTTCCATGGCCGTCGCATCTGCAGCTTGGACATAGCTCGAAGGATCTGATTGCTCTCTGTCTATTACGGTACAGCAGCAAGTTGGCTGTCACAGGACCTGGCTGCGAGGACTCAGCACTGCGAGTTAGACGACAATCAAATCCAAAATTCTTTAACTGCTTCAGTGTGGAAATCGTGAAGGAGTATTCTCAGCACATTAAAGAATTGGGTCTGGTGTTATGGTTGGGTCCTGACGAAAACTACGGTAAGAAGGATCGCCAGGCTTTCCTATTTGATCTATTCGACCAGGCCTACGGACTGCGTGTGTCAATCCACGAACCTGCTCAGATGGCTAATTTGGATAGGCATAGTTTTCATGTCGCACCGTGTCGAATGAATGAGCTATCCTTCCAAACCGTGCAGAGCATTTACTACAATAGACCATCCAAGCCATGTCTTCATGAGCCGAAAGAGACTTTTACAGATCTGGAGGAGAACTTCTTCCACGAATTTGAATTGTGTCTAAACAGCCACCCACAGCAGCAGAT